TTTATTGATGATTGTCGTGCATTCCTTTAGCCACGCATGATATTTGTATGCAAATGACATTAATTCTAATGTTTGTACAAATGCTCTGTATTAGAAAAAATATAACATTATGAAAACAGTTTTTTGTAAAAAATTATTTTCGCTGTAAAAAAACTTACTCTTATTTATTTGAAATTACTTTGTCGTAATTTCTTTTTTACCACTATAAATATGTATGTCACTGCGGTTACTACTATAAAATAGGTTAGAATCGTTAAAAATTTAACGCTATACCCCTTTTCATGGATTCCATCTGTCGCTAGCGACAATCGTGATCACGTGACCTTTTTGTCGCTTAAAATGAGCGTCGAGCGTCAGCATGAAAAGGCACCTTAAAAGAACGCACGGAGGGAGTTAGCGGTCTAGTGTTATATAGAAGTCTGTGGTCGGCAGTGATGCCGTTTGAGAACGTCAGCCACATCGCGACAGCGGTGGTGGGGATAGAGTGGGGATGGTCCCGTGCCGCACACATGTACGTGTTGCATACGTGCGCACACATATGTATACAGCACGTAGCCTGTGTGCGGCACGAGAGCCATCCCCACCACCGCTGTCGCGATGTGGCTGACGTTCTCATTTTCTCAAACGTGAGTCGTGAAACGGCATCGCTACAGTCGGTAGCGAGTAGCGAGACTAGTGAGTCAGTAACACTCAACGGTGGATTTCGGTTCCGTCGAGCGAACTCGACGATAAGCGAGCAGACGCCCGCACATGTTACTAACGAGTGAATAAAATAGCAAGTGCTTGACGCGAAAACGCTTGCGATTCCGCAAATAGACAAAACTTTAGATATAATGCCGTTGGCAACTCTAGCGGCCCCTTGGACCGAGCATCGCACAGATGAAAAGGTGAAAACCCTCGATACTCTTGGCATCCTTTTTTCTTCCCCTTCACTTATGGCCATTTCTTGCATCTGTCTTTAGCAAAGCACAGAAATTCTTCCGGCCGAAAATCAGGAAGAAACAATGGTCACTCAGGGAAATTCGATCGAAAGATCGAACTGTTGCTCCGAGTCTCACGAGATCGAGGTGCGCGACATGGCGAGGAATGGTTATGAGAAAGCCGAACCTTCTTACTTTGAATTGTTAAAAGTCCTTGGCCAAGGATCCTTTGGCAAGGTGAGAATACTAACGATAAGTAGTAAACATTGTTGCACGCTCTCTTTCACGCCACGTCATTTCGACGCTCTTGTAGGTGTTTTTAGTGAGAAAAGTTGTTGGAAAAGACAGCGGAACTCTGTACGCTATGAAAGTCTTGAAGAAGGCGACCTTGAAAGGTATCTGGAAATTTATTTGATGTTGATCGTTTCGTTGTTACACGCGACAATTATCCTGTCCACTTGTCTACAGTTCGCGATAGAGTCAGAACGAAAATGGAGAGAAACATATTGGTAGACGTGGAGCATCCGTTCATCGTCCGACTGCATTATGCCTTTCAAACCGAGGGAAAACTCTATTTAATTCTAGACTTTCTGAAAGGTGGCGATCTCTTTTCCAGATTGTCCAAAGAGGTGAGATTCTTACTTGGAAATTTCACTAAACCATTGCTAGTAATATTAGTTGCTTCCTTTTACATGAAAACTCAGGTAAATCTCACTTGTGACGTCATAACTCAGTTGAATGCATGTTCCTTTTGATTCTTAAGTGAGATTCAACCAGATTTAACTGAGTTTTTGCACACGATCAAAAGACCATGTGTTTTTTTAGTGAGTTTAATAGACACATTAATGACGTCATATCTGAGTATAAAATACTCACATAACTGAGTGACTCAGTATCACTTGAGTGTAAAAGGAAAGCAGCTATTGAATGTGAATTGCGTTTCAGGTAATGTTTACAGAAGATGACGTCAAGTTTTATCTGGCTGAACTAGCACTCGCGTTGGATCACATACATAAACTTGGAATCATTTATCGAGACTTGAAGCCCGAAAAGTTGGTATCGTTTACACATTACTCCCCGCCAGCGTGCTTCTGAGATATTAACGCTATTAAAATCATCCTTTTCTTCTTCCGCTACATACGCGATAGCATTCTGTTGGACACGGAAGGCCACATATCTCTGACGGATTTTGGCTTGAGCAAACAGCCTTTGGATGACTCGAAAGCGTATTCGTTTTGCGGCACCGTCGAATATATGGCACCGGAGATTGTTAACCGAAAAGGACACACTTGTACAGCGGATTGGTGGAGCTTCGGTGTCTTAATGGTTGGAGTTGAAATTGTTTTGTACAGCACATATGATACTGATTATGGACGATGGTGTCGACGCTCTTTGTCATATTTTTCAGTTTGAAATGCTGACGGGCGCTCTTCCGTTTCAAGGTACAAATCGTAAAGAGACGATGACGCAAATCTTGAAAGCTAAACTCGGAATGCCGCACAATCTTTCGACAGAGGCGCAGGCGCTTTTAAGAGTGTTGTTCAAGAGAAATCCGGCAAATCGTCTTGGATCTGGTAAAACATGAAATAAAATGTTGCGCTTTGAAGAAGTAATGGAGCAATTACAGAAAAGTCGTTTGCTTCTCAGGCGGAGTGGACGAGATTAAAAGCCACATCTTCTTCGCCACCATCGATTGGGACGCTCTTTACAAAAAGGAGATAAGACCGCCGTTTAAGCCAGCTGTTAGGGAAGACGATGCCTTTTACTTCGATAACGAATTTACCTGTAAAACACCTAAAGGTGTGGTGACTCTTCTCTTTCTTGTAAAATTAAAATAAGGTAAAACGAGCGGAGGAAAAGGGAAAGAGCAATGGCACGTTTCGCTTTTCACTTTACAGATTCTCCTGGAGTACCACCTAGCGCAAACGCGCACGAATTATTCCGCGGATTCAGCTTTGTCGCGCCGGGTTTGCTCGCGGATGCGGATCACGTAATGTCTCCCGAATATAGAAACTACGATAACATCAGCGCTATCTTTCCAACCTATGTCAATCCCGTTTCCATAACTGACGAATATGAATTTAAACACGAGATTGGCAGAGGAAGCTACAGTGTCGTATATTTGGCCGTTCACATAGCATCCAAGATGGAGTACGCTGTAAAGGTAATATCTTTCAAGAGAGATGTACAAGGGGAAGAAAGAATTGGATAAATAACGACAGAATGTAAAATAGGTGATTGAGAAATCGAAGCGAGACTCGACGGATGAAATAGAGATCCTCTTGCGATACGGAAGGCACCCGCACATCGTAACGTTGAGAGCGGTTCACGAGGATGATAAACGAGTGTATCTCGTGTTGGAACTTTTGCGCGGTGGCGAACTTCTCGATCGTTTGCTACAGAGAAGGAATTTCACCGAAAGGGAAGCCGCCGAGGTCATTTACACTGTTACCAGTGTGGTGCACTATCTTCACGAGAACGGAGTAAGTGTGCATCCAGTACGTATGTGGATATAGGTGGATATAGGTGAATGTTGTTGCTTAAAAACGAAACGAATAGGTCGTTCACAGAGACTTAAAGCCGTCGAACATTCTCTACACGAAACCGGGCGGTGACCCAGCGACACTTTGTATATGCGACCTTGGTTTTGCGACGCAATTACGAGCGGAGAACGGTCTGCTGATGACGCCCTGTTACACAGCCAACTTTGTAGCACCCGAAGTGTTGAAGCGCCAAGGATATGACGCAGCGTGTGACATTTGGTCACTGGGAGTTTTATTGTACATCATGCTAGCTGGGTAAACCGCGGAAACAAATGCAACCGTAGCATAATTCTGATAACTTTGACTCTAACGTAGTTGACTCGTGCGATACGCAGGTACACGCCTTTCCGCAACAGCCCGGGGGATAGCGCGAGCGATATATTAGGTCGTATTGGCTCAGGATATATAGACGTCGAAAGCGGGATATGGTGTCATATTTCCAACGAAGCTAAGGAACTAGTTAAGAGGATGCTGCACTTGGATCCCACTCGAAGACCTACGGCAGCTATGATTTTGAAATATCCATGGATTGTAAATCGACATCGTATCCCTCCAAAAGTATTGCCGGATGTTATTAAAGATCCGCAGAGTCTCAAGGTATTATGTCCGTCACAATTTTTCTTTATCACAATTCTATCACGTCAATGAATATCCTTATTTCAGATGGCAGTCGCGGAGACGTATAGAATGATAGCGAGTAGTCCGAGATCGCCGCATATCGGTCCCGTGGTCATGTCCGAATTGGCACGTCGTCGAACACAAGGCAAATCCGGTGGGGCTCTTGCCCAAGTTTAACTTTCACATTTCTTGTACAGCTTTTATCTCTTATCTCTACAAATTTCAATACTTAGGATAACAAAATCATATTTCAAAGTACAAGCGAAGGTAGTTTAAAGTGCCCATGTTGTAAATGACCTTGATATCGTCGTGGAAAGTATATGTATAACGGAACGTTTATAACAGTGAGCCGAATGTGATATTTATTTATAGTTAATTGCGTATAATATATATGTATATACTATACAGGGTGTACTAAAACCACCGGATATCCTTTTAATCGCAGATTCCTTAGAAAATTTCAAGAGGGAAATTCTAATAAACATGTCGAGGCTGTGATAGTTTTTAAATAATAAGCGATTATATTTCACAAATGACAGGCCTGAGATTTCGCGCGCTCAGGCACGGCGACATGACGAGTGATAAAAGTGTTCCTGTGAATGTCGCCCCTTTTTATTCAATTCAAGTCAAAATTTGCAACATTTTGTAACTTCAAAGTGTTACAGCTGTCAAAGTGGTCGATCAACATCAGTTGCCATGAAAGTTGTCACTATGCTGAAAAGGGCGATATCGTAGGAACATCTTTATCACTTGTCGCGTCGCCGTACCTGAGCGCGCGAAATCTCAGGCCTGTCATTTGTGAAATGTAATCGCTTATTATTTAAAAACTATCATAGCCTCGACATTTTTGTATTAGAATTTTTGCCTTGAAAGTTTCTAAAGAATTTATGATTAAAAGGATATCCGGTGGTTTTAGTAAACCCTGTATACGCTTACATACGTGCGTATGTGTGATAAGATGCGCTTATCACACGACGCGTTTGTTTCACCATGTGTTACCATAATGGGACTCCAATAGAATATAACGGAAGACAAAAGATTCCAGTAAAAGTCAAAACGCGCAGTTTAGTTTCGTACTTGATGATGCCGCATCTCGTTCGGAGAAAAAGAGATGAAAATGCCTGGAATATAATCGTTTGTGATTTTAAAATATATATAAATATTTCGATACGCATTAAATGTACAATTTTCTGTCCAATGTAATTAAGTCCGACTCGTTTTTTTCGTTCTATCGAAACTTGAAGATCTCGATGTTTGCGCAAGTCTGACAGTGAATTCTAAAAGAAATAAGATATTACGAGTTGCAGCAACTAGAAAAATTAATTTAATGAAATTATGTAATCATTGTTTTATTGTAATACTTGGTTGATAATTTGTTAAATAAATCAATAATTGTGTAGAGTGTATTCTCACACTGTGGCTTCCTTTTGAAGGGATTCAAACTCTTGTAAAGACAAATCAACAATAACAACAGGCCAATAATAATACGAGCAATATAAGGTGAAAGTCAAAAAGTACTTAAATATTTAATATATATTATATATATTAAGCGAACGTTTCGGCGTCACAGCGCCTTCTTCAGCGCAAATATTAAAACAATACATTAAATGCATCTAGTTACAATAGTATTAGCAATGGTCAACGAATTAAGAATAAGAGAGTGGGTAAGGTTTACATTAGTGAGCTATTAGCCTATATAAAAAACGCATATATTTTACGATGTGATGTGATCTACTCGTTTTATATTCTTGTCCAGAAACGTAAGATGTGCGAGAACAAAAAGCGATCGTGCCTCCCTCTTTACCTACTAGGTTCTAACGGTACCTCGGTATTGAATTTAGGTGTGTTGTGTGTGTGACGTATCTCACGTATCCAGCAATCTCCAATATTGGCGAAAATTGGTTACGGCTGGATCTGGATACGAGCGACGAGATCGTTTGCGGCTGTATAGAAAGAACAAAGGTAAATGCTTTTCGGCAGCGCATATTAGATGTGTATGTACAATCGGAATTGTTGCAGGTAAGATTCGCGCGTCGGGAATAGAAATAGTGCTATTGGAATATCGATACGATTGACAAGAGAAATTTTGAAGGTAATCTGATTTATCGCTTATATAACAAACTCCAGCTTTCACGTTGCGAAACGCACAGCTAACGCGTGCGTT